TCTCCGTGACGAGCGTCTGTCCCGGCAGCACGGGCTTCGCGAAACGAGCCTTCACACTCTTCACTAGAGACGAGTCGTTACCACCATATCTATACAATGGAGATCATTTTATGAAATATTCTTTTATTAACACATTCACTTCCACAAAGCCACTTTAATACGATAGTGGCAATGAACAGTAGAGGCGTTAAGATAGGGCGTTAAGGACCGCCCAGGGCGCGAAGCAAAGGGGCGTTACAGATCTAAATTACATTCTCAAGTACAGGGTACTAAACCCCCATTAACATAGTAAAGGGCGCGGCCCTTGAAATATCGCCCAGGGCGCAAATATCACTAAAACCAGCTATAGCATAATATGTTAAACACCAACATAGGTAAATTTGTAAATAGTCTAAATTTGTATTCAATTAATACGCAAACATATTTTATGCGGTAGAATTTTTTTTATATTTTAATTATGTAAATATATCTTCAAAAAACTTTATTAAAAAAGAGTATTAGAGTCTAAAAGAAATAATGTATACTGGAATTATAAAGAGGAAAGATTTGTATTTTTGTATGTATTGCAATAATTTAAAAAACTACTAGGCCGATTTAAAAAATTCTTAGACCGTTGGAAAGGTAATTTATCTGTGAGTAACATAGGCTATATTAACGCGGATATAGCGACAGGTAACACTTACTTGGCGAGGACGTGTCGCACGGAGAAGCCGAGCGAGGCCAGTCCGTGCAGGATGGGCTTCTGATGCCCCGCCGCCGTCGCCACGTTGGGGTCAATGTGCAGCGGGTTCAGGTCACCTGACAATCTATAAATAATACATTTTAATTTAACAATATATTCTTTATAAACATTTTTATATCTTATATAGGTTTTAAATATCTTGGTGTAGTGTTTATTTATTAGTCTTTTAACAATGGTATATCAGTAGTATAAATTATTCACAATATATTTCGTGTACACGTGCAGTCTTCACTTCATGCCTTCTTAGCTGTCAACTGTCACTGTCCCTGTCACTGTGTTACACTTGGTGGCTCAAGGTCATTTGCACACATACGAATATGTAAAATATAACTATTCATACAAGAATATTTTACACAAAATTGGACTCATTTTTAATTTGATTTTAAACTAGTATTATTAATGCGTTAGATGGTATGCTTGGTTGAGTTTGTAGCCTAAACTGCAGAACAGATCTTGATGATATTTGTCATAGATGTAGAGGATAGTCTGGAAAAACACAGGCTTTTATCCCGGAAATAGATACGGTTCCCGTGGGATAAACTAATTTTGTTTTTTCACTTTTACTCGATAATACTACAACCTTTTAACATATCTTATTAAAATTACACAGATATAAAAAAATATAGAGTTCCCGAGGGATATATAATGTATCTAGTTTTAATTCTTCACATATTTTTCAGTGTTAGTCAGATTACGTGAAAGGTGATATCAAGAAGGGAGTGCGAATAAGATGACTAATGATAGATTTATTAGGAGGACAAAAGTAAAAAGAGGAGACAATAATGATTTTCCGTTGTTAATAGAATTACTAACCTGTAAAGTGCTGCTTGGTCTTCGCTGGTCTTCTGTTCAACGACGGCGTCGGGCGCGCGCTTGGGCGCCGCGGCCACGTTGACCGCCTTGCTGGAGTTGCGCGGCCCGTTGAACCCGCCCTGCCCCAGCACGAAGATGTGCTGCTGAGTGCGGAGAACCAGGCTCTTGTTCTGGAATATCTCACCTAAGGGAATAATGTAATTACCATACACTCTTGATGAACTTGTGAAAAGAAGACTGCAATCGATTCTTTCATCTAATTTATTACATCATAGACAATTCAAAGCTATTCAATAATCCCTACTTAGAACTCATCATAACCATATTCTTACTTTTATATCTCACAAACTCTCACTCACCCTATTCCTTAGACTATATCATACCTACCATTTTAGATTCATGATGCTAAATGTAATTTTAAATTTAAGTATCTCTATTATATATTATTTGCGTCACCATTACCTGTTCTAAATCAAATTTTATAAGTACTTTGCACAGGCAGCAGTTACACCCAAAGTATACAATCGCTTCGGAACTCTGTTGTAAAATCCCATGAGTGTAAAAAATAAAGAGAAAAAAAGGGAATAATCTTATTGGTAACATGTATTCCAAAGATATTTAAGAAATATATAGACTAGACATAGTGAACGAAATTTTTTTCACAGGTAACTTCTTTAAAAAGTATGTCATATAAAAGTCGATTCTCTTTATTTAACACAATTTTAATAAATTAAGAGATTTTTGATCATAAAATATCGACCGAGAGGCTCAAACCAACTTAAAAAATAGGTTAATTCTAGGTTAGATTGGTTTTACACATTTTTAATTTAGCAAGTTGACTTCAATAATGTTTGTCTATAACTTGTTTGTGACGTTAGGTTAATTATTGATCTAGAGGGTGTCGTGTTTGTTGATTTCATGCAAAGAGAATGTTTATCAATATGCAATTTAATGTAAACCTGTCAAATTATATAGGATAAAATTAATTTATGATACTAACTGTTGACAATGGCCACTGCACTGGACCCCTTGTCGAGAATGTCGACTACGTAGTTACGTATCGTGAACTCTCCCTCAGTGCCCGGGAACTCTCCCACGAACTCTATATACTGTTCGCCATGGAGGATCTAAAACAATTACAATGTCAAATAGTGAAACATTTATACTTCTATACTAATATAATAAAACGTAACACTTTTTACGAACGATGTCAGTAATCACATATATTTGAAAAATTCTCTTTTTAATAAAAATCCTTACACCTACGCTATAGGCTATATTTTCACGCTTTTTAATTTAGGGCGGTGAACAAATGGAAAAGAATTGTCATGCGAGAAAGGGACAAAAACTGCAAGCTAATAGCAAAGAAGCAAGATTGCCATAGTAACGGTAATTGTTAGCCACTGGAAAATTCCTTTGTTGACATCTAAGCATTTGGATTTTGACATTTGCAATTGATTTTAGAGAATGATTCATTTGCAATGAATTTTAAAAACAATAAAAGAGAAAAAAAACGCATAGGAGGGATTATTCCCCACCGTCACCCCGCTCTGTCCCCACGTGGGAAAAGATAAGAATAAAAAGTTTCAACCGTCCCACCTTTTGGTCATAATGCTCCCATCTTTCAACTTATTGGTGATAGTGGGATAAAAATGGGACGGATGAAACTTATTATTCTCACGTGGGGACAGAGCGGGGTGACGGTTGGGCATACTCCCATAGGAGCAGATAGTTTAAAATCCTTTACTTATAAACAAAAAAGAAAAGAGCACTAAGTCCAACATTATTGTTACTTACGTTAGTAAAATCTGCATGTTTTCCCGGCGGCATGGACTTGCCGACGACGGGTGACTCCATCACCATACCCGGTAAAATGAAGAAGGTGGGCAGAGCGGAAAAGTTTTCATGGCTCTCATACAAGAATTTCAAATCACTAGCATTTAAGACGGAAGCCCCAACTGTAAAAAAACGTTTTTATGAATAACACGAAAAAAGTGCAAAATATACAAACATGTCTTTAGATATGTTGAGGCACGTTTGCACCTATTCAACACGCCTCTATACGTAACAAGAGACAGTGTCAACACTAACAAGTGTGTGTTTACATTTATCCAGTTATAATCCAGCGCTGTCTTCAATCGCTGGGCTGGAATAATGTAAACCAGACATAAGTGCGAAGCGAATTAAAAATAGACATTACTGACATTTGCTATTTATAAGTAGGTAGTACATTACATCCATACAAGTGGAAAAGATAAATAATAGATTCTACGGGGGAAAGTACCGTGTATCCAGCTTAATGATTGACAAATAAAGTTTTCATAGATATTGCAAAACTTGTAATCAGTGTTATGTAAATCCATGAATGAAGCCGCAGGGGAGCAGCTAGTTTAATCACCATGGACTTAGTACATTGACCGTCGACTTGGACAATGACCTTCGCTTTATAATCTTACACAAGGTATTTTATCAATGAAAATTCGATAAAGTCGTTTATCAAGTATTTAACAACAATGATATCTTTATTGATAGAAATGTAAGAATATTTTCACGGAGGAATCATAATAAAAGGCTAGTGTCTTATATAAGCATAATTTAAACGGAAGTTGATTTAAATTGAATAATATTTTCACATTCAAGACAATGGGAATAATTATTTCAGAACACACATTGTCTCACTAAGTTTGAATTAATCTTATCTTACTAATATTATAAATGCGAAAGTTTAGATAGATGGATGTTTGTTAGAGTCTGTGGCCTAAACGGCTAAACAGATCTCGATAAAATTTGGCATAGATGTAAAGAATAGTCTGTAAGAACACATAGGCTACTTACTTTTCTGTTTTATTACTCCAAGCGGACGGAGTCGCGGGTAAAAACTAGTGGTATATATATGAACAAAAATACGAATTATAATTAAGATTAGCATCTCGTGAACAACAAACAAAAAATAATTACTTACTTCCGAGAGCATATAAAGCGAGGTCCTTAGCATTGTAATTGTATGTAGACCAATACGCTTCATTCACACTTTCTAATTTACTCCTCTCCTCGAACTCCTGTACATAAAACAGTTTTAGAGAATTTTACCTTTTAGCTACACCAATAATAAAGTTCAAAATCGATAATCAATAAAATAGTACTGACTTGTAACTTTTCAACCAATTCCACGGTGACTTCCGCTATTTTCTCCTTATGTGTAGCGTTGTTCATGTTCACAACTTGAGGCCACGCCTCCTTTACGGACTCTATAGTAACAGCGTCCGCGGGTTTTTTCCTAAAAATAATCATATGTCACTTTTAAAATATACATAACCTTTCATATGTTCTGGAAATCTAACACGAATGGGGTTTCAAAAATCTTACTAATATAAAAGGAAAATTTAACTAGATGGATGTTTGTAGCCTATATTTCTAAACAGAACTCGATGAAATTCGACATAAATGATAGTCTGGAAAAAAACAGGCTTTTTGTAAATCCACGCGGACAGAGTAGCGGGGAAAAATTAGTAAATTTAAAACTAAAGTGCATATAATCCCAAAGAAACCTAGAAAGATAATTCAAAAACGACTTGTAAATTTTTTTGCAAAAAATAGGTATCGATAACACTTATGAATAAGTCAATTTCATTAAAATTTCAAAACTTTATACAAAAAAATATTTTAATTTATTTAACACAATTAAAAAGCGATGGCATTTTTTAACATATGGGTTTTAAAGTATTCTTATCTGGAAAGAACTACTACGTTTATGAAATCTACTAACTTTAGTACTGATCCTTGAGACCTCACAAGGTGCGCTTTGGTGGCGAAACCCAATGTAGAATCGATAACACTGCCATTGTCCGGGAAAGATTCATGCGCCATATAAGCCTATAAACAACATATTAACAATCAATTTCCATTTGCGAAACATTTTGTACTACGTCTCTATTTATTAAAAGACGAATGAAAGAGATGGCAGGATATAGTAACACACACTGAAGAAAACGAATGACTATCTAATTAAGCTATTTGAGCTAGGATAGGTGTTTTCCCGTTCGCCTGGAAGGCCCAATGAGAAAAATCCATTGGCCTATTCATCGGTAGGCGGATTGACCCAACAGGAAACGTCCTAGCAAATCACAATAGAAATAGCATATACTAAATTACGAATAAGGCCATTAAATTATAATGCGTATCATTTTTATACGGCAAAGAATCGTATTTTCGCATCGTTATGTTTATCTTTTTATCAACACATTGCTTTATTGTCTTGTCAAAGACATTTCAAGGTTAAAATTATTTCTTGGAATTGTTTAAAACTTTATCAAATGCAAAATCAAGTTTAAACGAATTGTAATTCCGTGAGTTCTAGAAATGATTTGGAATGCTTTTTCATATGGAATAACTTGACGTTATATAAAAAAAGTAATTAATCGTGTTAAAAATATAATTACGGCATATTTATTACAAAAACCTTGAATACAAACAGCTGTTTGTTTCAATGACCTTGAATATATAAAAAAACTAGACATTCAAACATCAGCTGAAAAAAGTTACAAATTTACACTGACTTTTGCTAAAGGCAGTAAGTTTTCGTTGTGATTTTATTCAGTTTGCTTCGACAAGGTCTAACTTACGACAACTGGAGCGATGAGTTCTGGTTTCATAGCCTGGAACATCTCCGGAGGCAGGATGTCCTCGGTGAGTCTGGAGGCGGCCGTGGGCACGATAGTGTTCACCTTGATGTTGTATTTCGCACCCTCAATAGCCAGGGTGTTTGCAAGACCAACCAGCCCCAATTTAGCTGCGCTGTTTAAATGTTTAACTAATTTAGACTTTAATCGGATATATTAATAACTATAACTAACTTTGAATAACTACCATATACAATAGAACCTCGATAATTCAAACCTCGGTAAAATAAAAACCTCTAAAACTTCAAAAAATAATATGTTCCCTTCCCATCAGAGCCCAAAACCTCTATAACATAGACCCTTGATAACTTAAAACCTCTATAACTTAAAATATTTTGTGTTTCTCTTGAACTTTAACTTATCGAGGTTCTACTGTAATATTTCTATCTAAATATCATAAAACTTAATACATACATACTTTGTTATGTAGGATGTCAGCAATCAAAGCATATTTTTGAATAATCCTATTTATAAAAAAAATTCTACAGTTACGGACACACTACAAGCTATAATAATTTATTTACATCCTATTTAGTTCAGGGAGTCCATAAATTGGAAATCATTGTGGGGGAAAGGGACAAAACTACGAGTCAATAGCAGCAAAGACAAGATTGTCATGGTAACAGTATTGTTAGCATTAGAATTTTAACATTTGCATTTGAAAATATTACAAACGTGAACAATAATACTTTTTTGTAATACCGTGTAGATAAAACCGTACAAACACAGTCATATTATGAAAAAAAAATGTAAAAAAATACCTGTAGTTAGCCTGGCCAAAGTTTCCGAAAAGGCCAGCATTACTGGAGGTCATAATAACTCTACCATACTTTTGCTTTCTGAATATCTCCCATGCAGCATGAGTAGTTTTAAAAGCACCTTTCAAATGTACAGCTTGTATCAGATCCCAGTCCTATATGTAAAAATACAATTGAATAATTTGTCTTTTAAAAAGACAAAAATCATCAGTTTTATTATTTTTTTTTATTTTCTATTTTTACAACTAGATTAATTTAACATTGTCTAATTTTTGTATGAATTGCATTAAAAATATTAAACACTAAGGATAAAAACAGAATATCTAAAAAGATCTTTCTCAATAGATAAATTTTTCAATAAAGGAGTTCCTTCCTTTGAATTAATTCTTAAGAGAGATAAAAATCATTGTTTAGTGTTGATTATATTGCATCTCTGATATGTTATAAATCAATATTATAAATGCGAATGTTTAGATGGATGGATGTTTGTTAGACTTTGCAGCCATTTACTGAATGGATCTTGAAGAAATTTGGCACTGACATAAAACATAGCCTGGAAGATCACATAGGCTATTTAGCAAGTTTTTTTTAAATCCCACACGAACGACGTCGCAGGCAAAAGCTAATACTAGTACTGTATAATTTAACTAGGCCATTAAAGCATTTTTTTTATAATTCTAGAAAGACTTTATTTAGGTGATAGTCAGAACAATGAAGTGTTAAATAATTTTTAGTCAGTTTGGTGGATAGGGCATAATTACAAAAATATATTATCACCTGTTCAGACATTTTACTGAAGCTTTTATCTCTGAGTATACCAGCATTGTTGATAATGATATCAACACGTCCAAAATTATCTATAGCCGTTTTTATTATCTTCTCCCCATCGACAACCGAGTTGTAATCAGCTACGGCTTCACCACCTACAAACAAACATTTTTATCATAATAATAAGGATTAACCCTTAACCTGAAGTTTCAAAGTTGATACCGGGGTTATAAATCACATTCGGCAACTATAATCGATTTTATTTTAATATTTGGCTGTTCACATGTTACCTTTAATTGATAATCTTCAAGTTAGTAAAACAAAAAGGAGACTATCACATAAATGTTGCTACTTTTGAAGGTAAGGATTTCTCGCCAACACGTTGGAAGGACAATATAAAAATGTTGTTTTATTTTTTTAATATTCTTCCCCATTAGTTAACACCGTTAAAGGTATTATTTTTTAATTTGATTTAAAAAAAATCAGGTTTTTAAAGGTAAATGGATTTTTAAATTCCCCTTTACTGAATACCACTGCTACTACGAAGTCTTTGTAAATGGTATACATTTGTAACCATTTATGCTTTTGACTACATGACAACAAAACTCATGCTCATAACCAGAAGGGTAGGCACAGACCACAGACCTTCATTTGGTGCTAGACACACCTTTCTTGCTTCTGCATTCATATTTCTATGAATACATGCACTGGTTTAAATGTTCTTGATACTTTGTGAGTATTTTTCATTCTGGACATTATAAGTCTGTTTGACTATAAAATTGTTTTATGCAATCCACTAATATTACTTGCTTTTTAGTGTGTATATAAAAACATACAAACACACAAACTTATTAGTTATGTAAAGATTGGTGTCAGTCATTGACTTGACCTTTGACTCAACAACACAATAGTACTGGAATGTTATACTAATAAGTAGAAAATAAATAAACTTTAGGTAATAACAATTTACGACTAACAATATGAATCTATAAAAAGTTTCCTTAAGATTACAAATTATTATAAAAAATGGTTGTTTTCTTATGTTCATCATACTAATATTATAGATGGGAAAATTTGGATGGATGGATGTATGTTTCTTACCATGAGCCAGAAGAGCTCAATGGGACTTAATCAAGGGCGGATCCAGAGGGG